GCATTAACGTATACTGGAAGTAATAAAGCCTTGCTTCATTCTTCCCTTCTATGTAGTGTGTACTTATTTTCTCGTGTGTTCATTTGATACAGTTTGACACTTTTTGTATCTACATCCTTCACTTAAGAAAGGACCAGTCTGAATCATGCTCCTACGATTGTACTAGGGAAGGTCCTGCCAACCGACGTCAACAACAACCAAGGGCCAATCTGACAACGTAAACGACAATGTAAAGAAGCACATTTATTTGACATTGTGTTTTTCATTTACCTTATTCATTTTGAGGATTCAATGGTTATGATGTTTCTTCTTGAATTTTTGGGTTAAAAAGGAAATGGAATGCATGGATGTTGCATGGAAGCCAAGTGTTGGGTTACAGTTTGACACTCTTGAAGCAGCATGGAAATATTGGTGTGAATATGGAAGGATAACAGGATTTGGTGTGAGGAAAAAATACTGGAATAGGCGAAAGGTTGATGGTGTTATTTCATCTTGTCGGTATATTTGTTGTAAAGAGGGACATCGAAAGGATGATAAAAGAACAGTGATGAAGCCCAGGGCAGAAACTAGGACTGATTGTCTTGTAAGAATAACATTATTTTTGGGAAGCAACAACAAATATGTTGTACATGAGTTTGTTGAAGAGCATAATCATCCATTACAAGTTCCAGAAACAACACACATGCTTGCTTCACATCGTAATATAACTGAAGTTCAAGCTCATCAAATCGATTTGGTTGAGTCCTCAGGATTGCAACAGAAATCGTCATTTCAGCTAATGAGCACACTTGCAGGACATCGAGCTAATGTTGGCTATACTCCTCTAGATGCAAAAAATTATTTGAAGGCTAAGAGACAAAGGGGAATGTTATATGGAGAAGTTGGTTGCTTAATGGAATACTTTCAGCGGCAGTTAATTGAGAACCCATCATTTTTTCATGCATACCAAATGGATGCTGAGGAACAAATCACAAATGTTTTTTGAGCAGATGCGAAGATGGTAATTGATTACGGGTGTTTTGGTGAAGTCATATCATTAGACACTACATATTGCACCAACCGAGCTAATAGACCTCTAGCCTTGTTTTCAGGTTTTAATCATTATTGAGGTTTTGTTATCTTTGGGGCAGCCCTGTTGTATGATGAAACAGCAGAATCCTTTAAGTGGTTGTTTGAGACATTCTTGGAAACACACAATAAAAAACAACCTCAAACAATTTTTACAGACCAAGATCAAGCTATGGCCAAGGCAATTTTCCAAATAATGCCTCATACACATCATGCTTTATGCACATGGCATTTAATGCAAAATGGCATAAAACACCTTGGCAATTTGATGAAAGGAGAAAGTCATTTTTTAAGAGATTTGAGAAAATACATGTATGACTTTGATACTTCAATTGAGTTTGAGGATGCATGGAGAAGTCTCATAACAGAATATAATGTTGAAGAAAATTCATGGATTACTTCACTTTATTCCATAAAGGAGAAATGGGCATCATGTTATCTCAAGGATGTGTTCACCCTTGGAATGCGAAGTACTCAATTAAGTGAAAGTCTAAACTCTGATTTTAAGGCATGTATGAAACCTGGTGTTGGTATCAAACAATTCTTTGCTCACTTTGAACGAGTTGTTGAAGACAAACGTTACAATGAGCTGAAACATGAGTACAACTCTCGCCATAAGCTACCCATGTTGCGGTATGAGGTTTCACCAATCTTAATACAAATGGCCAAGGTTTACACACATACAATATTTAACTTATTCCAAGACCAGTTTGCTCAATTCTTAGCTTGTAGCATCTCACAAAGGATTGCAATTCCTCCTTTGGTTGAATATGTGATTACTAAAGTCCATCAACAAAGATCATGGACAGTTACGTTTGAACCTTCCTCAAGCACTATATATTGCTCTTGTAAGAAGTTTGAAACATTTGGCATACTTTGTTGTCATGCATTGAAAGTGTTTGAAGCCAATGATGTGAAAGTTATCCCTGATAAATACATACTTAAGAGATGGACAACATATGGTCGTAGTGAGATTATTCATAATGTCAAAGGAACAGAGGTAGAAGGAAATCCTAAACTTAGTACCATATGTCGATACCGTCACCTAGCAGGTAAAATGATTAGGTTGGCCTGTGACGTTTCTACTTCAGAAGAATATTGTCAGCTAGTTGATGACAATATTAACAACTTAATCAGCAAAATCACAAAGCTTCGACTGCAAACAAACAGTCTTACGGATAAATATAAGGATGATGCACAAATGTTGGCCAATAATAATGGTACATAACCTAAGGGATTCAAGCTCCGACCAAGCACTAAGAGGAAAGGGAATAAACGTTTCAAAAGTTGGGTTGAGCTACAAGCAAATAGAAAGAAGAGCAGAACTCCAATTTTAGATCAATCAACATCTCAAGTTCTTTGATATAATGATTTTGAATACCAAATATATACAATTCAGTTAACTTCCATATTATAACCATATAATATAATAATATGGGTGTTAATATGTTATAGGAATATCAACCAATGGTTTGTCATCCACTTGAAGTACATTGTTCGGCACCTCCAACTTATGATCCCCCTCAGACATTACTTACTCAATTAAGTTTCACAGATTTGTTTAGAGTAATAATTTTCAACTTACCTTTACATTGTCTAATCATTGATGCTGGTTCCTAATATATCTTCTTCTCTTGTAGGGACCACTTCATGATATCAATGATTCTGGCCTGCATGATATTTGATTCTGTTGTTCTGACCTGGATGGCTCTGCTTCTTTTGTTTTTGAATTGCTTAAGTAGTAATGAATCCTTTTTGTGTATATTTCATTATGAACAATTGTGGACCATTAATGGAATGGACTCTTTATCCATATTATTTTTTTGCCACATATTTATTTAATGTAGTAACTATTTCTAGATGACTGAATTTGACTTTGATAAGCAATTTTGTAAAATTTTGACATTCTGGCAGTTTCTGCATAATTTTTCCAATTTCTGCATAATTCGCTTAAGCCCTCGAATTCGCTTAAGCTATTTTAATTTCGCTCCAACCTCACAAGTTTGGCTTAAGCTATGCATCCATTCGCTTAAGCTAACCCAAATTCGCTTAAGCGATTTATGGTTCTGTGAATCAGTACTCTCTGTCGCGAATTCGCTTCATTTTAAATAAATTCGCTTGCATCCGCTTAAGCCAATACCTTATTCGCTTAAGCTAATCTACAATAGCTTAAGCGAGTACCTTCCCTGATTCGACTTTGGAGAGCGGTTGGTTTTCAACCGCTCTCCAAAGTGACTTCTAAGAGCGGTTAAATATGAACCGCTCTCAGTATTCGATTTTGAAGAGCGGTTCAAAACCAACCGCTCTCACGATTCAACTTTGGAGAGCGGTTCGTTTTGAACCGCTCTCAGAAGTGAAATTCGCTTAATATGAAATCAGGATCGCTTGAGCGAAACGGAGCGATTCCATAATCGCTTAAGCGGTGATGTATCGCTTAAGCGGATATTCTCCAACTCTCGCTTGGCCTCGCTTTGATGCCAGGATTCCATAAATGCATCGCTTAAGCTTAAAACGTTGGCTTAAGCGAGAATTCACTTATATTCGCTTAAGCCGGTCCAAATTCGCTTAAGCGAATTTGGATAGGACGCTCATGTTCGCGCCAGAACATGAGAGGATCCGGATCCGGTATTCACCTTTTAAGTTATTATGTTTTAGATTAATGGAGTTATTTTGTGATTATTTAAATGAATAAGGGATGATAGGAAGGTTTCACTGATATTCTATTAGGATAAAACTTGATAACGTTACAATGATGCCTTTCTCTTGAAAGCGAAGGTGCTTCATATCTTGCTGCACTCAAGTTTAAAATATCAATCTTCCTGAAATTTTTATTAGCGTAAAGGTGAGATGAAAAATAAGGTTTGTTTCAATGTTCATTCTTTTAGGAGAAGTCCATAATAAATTGTTGAAGTTATATCTTGATTTTGCCTAACTTTTTTTTTTTTTAAATGGTATTTGGTACTTAAATCAGTACTTCAAATTGTGATGGCTGACTGTTGCACATGGTTTCTGGGGTTGGTTCTTTTGTTATAAGTGATTGATTTTATGTGAACACGACCATGCTCACAGCCCAAAACATGGAAAGACTGTTGTCAAGGCTGAAAGCTTGAATTGTCTGCCGTCCATGTTTTTTCAAAATAGTACTGTTGTATTATTAAGCTTACTGATTTGATTTTTGAACACGGTGTTCAATGTCTTGACTTTTGTGAATGTTGATCCTTGTTGAATGAATGACTCTGCCTCGTGTTCATGACACTGTTTTTTGTTTTAGATACCAATACCTGGGACTGATTTGAATTCGGTATGCCCAAGAGAGTCATTGATCTCTAAAATTCCTAGATGTGGTTAAGCAAATACCTTAATCACTACTGGTGACCATTGGAGATGCTTAATCTTCGTCCAAATTTTAACTTTATTATGCTTCCTAGTTTTTTCTTTTTCTGTATTCTGTAAGTTTTAATCGGAGGGCTGAGTTGGTTTGTTTTTTCTAGTATTACGGTTGTGGACATTGATGAATACCTGAGGAATGTCATGCTTAATATATGATAGATTCTTACATATATTTGTTTTGATATTTATCACAAACCAATTGTTATGTACCCAGCTAATATAGTTGAAAGCTTGCAAGTCTCTTGTAATAAAGCTTAGCTTAAACGAAAACCAATCCGTACCTAAATAGTATTAGAGCACGAGTATGCAATTTTTTGGTACTTTTTAGCTCTACATTTTAATCAAAATTAGAAGATTACACTCGAATTTCGCCCTAAATAAAAATGTGCATTGAAAAGTATGGACAAGAAACGGAAACTAAGCCGGTTTCTTGTTTGGTATGAATCTGTTTTTATTATTTAGACTATTTACACCTTCATAGTGAAACTAGATTAAAATTATCTTATTCATATTCGGGAGGCAATTTTCATTGCAGCAATTACTCGCCAAATGTGCTCATTCAGAATAAAAAAGCTGTTCTTTATTTTGTAGCACTACAGAGAGATGAATGTAAAGTTTGACACTATATTTAAGTGTCTACAGAAACAGAAATATTGATGGAAAAGGAAGATATATTTTATTTGAGTTAGAATAATATGATTGAAGTATCATATTATAAGTTCACTTGCAGCTAGGAAGTGGGGGCCCACACAAACACTTGTTGTGAAAATAGGAATACACATCGAACCTTTGCAATCTTCCACCCTGAGGAATCTCCCCACACAACCGATTATAGCTGACGTTGAACCCCTGCAAAAAATCCACTGCGGTCAATCCCACGGGAATGCTGCCATAGATCTTGTTGTGATTCAGATCCAACGATATCAAGCTCGTGGCGAACTCCACTTTGGATAAATCGAACTCCAACAAGTTCCTCGAAACGTCAAGAATCTGTGTCGTTTTGTTGCGCCCGAAGAGCACGGAGGCATCGCCTTCCAGCTTGTTCCTTGAAAAGTCTATCCTTTGGGGGTCTAAGTTGCCCAAGGAGGCTGGAATGGGCCCCGAAAGCTGGTTGTGGGATAGGATGATACTTGGGCCTGGCTTCTTGAATGTCCCAAATGAGTCTGGGATTGGGCCCGTGAGCTTGTTCCGGTCCAAGCCTAAAGACAAGAGATTTTGCAAGTGGGAAAGTGAGGCAGGTATGGAGCCGGAGAGGTTATTAAAGGAAAGGTCGATGAACTCCAGGTTTGTGAGTTGGGCCAAGAAATCGGGAACTGGGCCGGAGATATTGGTCCAGCTGATAGTGAGGTACTTGAGTTTGGTGAGCTTGGCGATGGCGGGCTGAATTGGGCCGATGAGTTTGGGGAGCTTGTGGAACTCGAGGGTCTCAAGGTAAGGGAGGTCACCGACTGAGGGTGGTATGTAGCCTGATAAATTGGTATCTGGCACAGAGGATAACATCACGAGGGAGTTGATGCGGTGCGTTTTGGAGTCGCATTCGACACAATACCAGTCGCAGCAATCGGTGTCAGGGTTCCACGAGGCTAAGAGGTAAGGGTTGTTCATGTCCTTCTTTATTTGGAGAAGCACTTTCTTGTCTTGTGGGTTGCACAGCTCCGAGAATGCAAGTGGAGATAACAACAGGAACGTGAGGAAGCATAATCCAAACGTGGATTCCATTTTCGATGGAATGAGAATGGAGAGCGTTGAAAATTTATAGAGTGCGATGGGGAACGTATATACTGCATGTTGCCAATTCCTTTCCTGTGGGCTGTGGGAATACTGTGATGTCTGTGGTGACGATTGCAATTTGATACAGCTCATTCATTTATTGTTTTTTTATGTACTTGTTTTTCATCTTTTCGTTATGCACAGCTTAATTCTCTCCGGTAAACGTTGCTTTTCCCCATAATGTGCAGACACAGAAACCAACCATGCAGGGCTTGTTACCGTCATTCCGAGGGATCAAACGAAAACAAAAGTGATCAAGTGTCATGTTAATGTGAAAATTTTGTGTTTGTTTTAACCAACAGCATTAATTATTTTCTTCTTCCATTTTCAACGCAGTTTAAAATAATTTTTAACAAAAAATTTCATTTAATATTTTAACCATTTCTTTAAATAATTCTTTGATTGCCTGGGGTAGAGGGTTGGGCATCAAGCTGCCAAAGAGCTGAATTGGTCAAAAAAGAACAAAGGACCTCACTTCATACATATCCGTGCCGATTTTCCATAATTCTTTATACAATAAATTTCCATCACGTATCTGTATCGCATTGAATGCTTTCGCTATAGGATTTGCATGCCGTAAGACGCAGCCACGGCCCGCCACTTTGTTCGGCACTCAAACACTAATCGTGTGGACTTTAATTTATTTTAAGTAATTAAAATAATATTTTGATTGAAATTATTTATTGCATAAAATATAATGTATAGTAAATATTTTCATAAAAATATTTTTTAAAATATCTAAAATTAATTCTCCAAAAATTTATATTAGCAAAACTAAAAGGTAAGTTTATTATTTAAATACTAAAAACATTATATATAGAATCATGCATGATTATTTATTACTCTTACTGATATTTTATATAACATATTAAAAACACATCAAACTGACCATTCTTTTATTATCTTATTATTCACAAAACATTGTCCATAAACAAACACAGAGACACACTAAGCACAGCCTATCAAATTAAAGCAATAATTGAAGCGGGACACTGCATCCTACCATGTCCTTTTCTAGAAATTTTTATCTGAAAACAGCTGAACTTAATGTGAATTTTAAGTGGTGAAAATAATGAGAACATGGTCAAGAAATTTCCTCCCCTAGTAAGTTTTAGTATTTATAAGTAGAGGATTATTTTTGTGTTACTTAGTTCACGAAAAATTAAAAGTACAGGACAGTATGAGTAAAATGTGAGGATCAATGTTGACAAGCAATGGCATGTGGAAAACAAAACAACTCAAACCAGATATACGGGATATACAAAAGTTGTTTTTAAAAACTAAAATTAATAAAACCTTACTTAAGACGAATAATGTTGTAATAAAAATTAAATGAATTGACTTTATTGTTGATTAAGCATAATAATTTTAATTAGTTTTACAAGGTTTGGATACACATTGATCTGTCCCTGACGAGGTGATCTACTTGATGACGAAAACAAATTCAAGTTAGTAAATGGCCGTGGTTGATAAGTTGATACGTTGGACATGGTATTGTTCCATTCGTGACCTCAAATAGCTTGAGGATTGCGAGAAGCCGAATGAATAATCAGCGATGCTAGATGCACTTTGGTGGTAGCAAAGGTCTTCTATGAAGCTGGAAATATTGGGAGGAAAACATATATGTAAAGAGAATAGCTGAACAGTTTGCTAAATTCGTTGGATACGAATTGCATGTGTATTGTTAGTGCGTATATCTGGGTTTACGGTTAAAAATGATAATTTGTATATAAATAATCTAAGAATAATTTAGGAATTGGATTAAGGTCTTTTTTAAATTCTTTTAAATATGTTGTTTAATGTAATGCTCAAATTGACGTTGTAAAATAAAGTATTAAACAGGAATAATGAATAATAATTACGTGAAAATGATTGAAGGTAAAAGTTTTATATAAAACATGCAAAACAAGCACTGAATAGCAGAAATATAAGCAAAAAAAAAACAAACAAACAAAAGAAACTGTAATTAGAATATAGAAACGTAAATATGCATGAAAATAAGCGTACGACTCCTTAATAACAGCGAACAACGACAACCGTGTGTTTTCGGTGAGCTGGTGTCTGATGCAGTGCAGATAACTTTAGATGTGGTGTCTGGATACAAAAAGTCATCCCCTAAAAAATGAAACTTTAAAGTATTTATAGGCAAGAGGATCATCGTCGTTCTCCTTCTTTGGCGAGCACTTCTTAATAATTGCATGCAATTGTTGATGTTCATTATCCATGATGACTTATAATCGTGCTGTCAGTTGAGACTTCTCTTATAACTGCTATCGCCCATGATCTGTCTTCATTTTATTGAATTTTCGTTTGGTAATAACTGCTAGTAACGGTTTGTGGCCGCTTGTAATAGCTTGAGTCCTATCATGACTTTTTATTTTCTCTCTTTCGAGCAATTCTGAAAGAAATCTAAGAGGTTCATCTAGTATTATGGCCTTAAGAATATTTTCTTCTTGACTAATTCTAGGGGTTTGAGAACTTATCTTGGCCTTATGTACTTAGAATATTTTTTCTGATCCTCCCTGTTTTTCAGCAATTCTGAAGGGAATATGGAATTCAACTAGATTTGTGAACTTAGAATATTTTCTGCTTCTTAGTTTTTGAACAATTCTAGAAAAGATCTGGAGCTTTGTTAGGTTTGTAAACTTAGAATATTTTTTAACTATTTTTTATTTTTCGAGCAATTTTGTATTGTCAAGGACTTAAAAACCTTCAAAAACTCCTTAAAAGACTTTTAATCCTGTAAACTTAGAATATTTTTCTATTATTCATGTTTTTCGAGTAGTTTTAAGTGTAAGAGACTTGAAACTCCTCAAAACACCTCGAAAAAAGCTTCCAGTTTTGTGGACTTAGCATAATTTCTTACCAATCCTATTTTTTGAGTAGTTTTGAGTATAAGAAATTTGAAACTACTCAAAACACTTTAAAAAAAGCTTTAAGTTTTATAGATTTAACGTAATTTTTTATCAATCTTATTTTTTGAGTAATTTTAAATGTAAGGGACTTGAAACTTCTCAAAAAAACTTCTTCTAATAAAGTTTTATAACTTAAGATTTTTTTCTAATCCCAAACAATTTTACAAAAAAGGGACATGAGAATATCTGAACAACCTAAGATTGGATCGATACCTCATCATCATGAACTGCAAAAACGGGGTTAAAAATTCCTATTCTGAATGTTTGAATTGTTGCTTCCTTTGCACCACCCATATGTCACACGCTTTTTCATCAAAACGGTAGAAGACAACAGTAAGCCGGTGAACAACCTCGAAAGCTCTAGACATGTTGTTCCATCTTCATTTTAGGAGTATAAAGTACCTTTTAACTTTGTACGATAAATAATTAATTTTTTAACTTGTTTTACCACTCCATCATTCATTACTACATTTTTAATACATCTTCTTCAATCAATTTGGGATAGATAACAGACTATCACCTCGGTGTTATTTTTTAACACCACCGACAGTCAAAAGTCTTCAACACTACTAATACACTATTAGGCTGTCAAATCCAGCCTTACCATGCATTAAAAAACAAACCTTGGAGTCAAAGGAAAAAGCCAGAAATCGAATTCACGATTTCACTGGTTTATTAATTAAATCGAATTAATTTAGTCTGGCTTTGTCATTTTCTATCCACGAATGATTTTGTAGTCAATGATTAATTATTTTCTCTAATATACGTAAACAGTCTATCAAGTCTCTAGTATATACTTATCCTCATTTCAGTTAGAGAAAATATTTTAGAATATTTGTCATTATAAAAATGAGATAAAATAATTAATATAATAAATAATATACTATAAAAATACTGTTCAAATAACCTAAATCTTTTATTGATTTCATATTTTACGCTTACTGCATAATCTCAAATATATAGTAGCAATGGAGATATATACGCCATCTCGACGTAACACTTTAGGAACAAGATTAAAACTCACCACGTTATTGCGTGTACTAAGTGGGTAGAACATTGTTATTGGGGTGATTTCACTTATTTGAATTAAACGCAGATTAACAGCACAGATCAAGTGCAGCTGGGAAGAGGGGACCCACACAGGCACTTGTTATGCAAATACGAGTAAACTTCGAAACTTTGCAGCTTCCCACCCACTGGAATCTGCCCGCAAAGCCTGTTATAACTAACGTTCAGGTACTGAAGATTCAGTGCGGTCAACCCTTGAGGAAGCTTACCGTACACCTTATTATGATTCAGATCCAACGATGTCAGGCTCGCGGGGAACTCCACGTTCGTTAGATCGAACGATAGTTGGTTCCTCGACAGGTCCACTATCTGGACCATCTTATTGGGCCCGAAAAGCGCTGACGCGTCACCCACGAGCTTGTTCCGGGACAGATCCAGGACTGTGAAGTTGAGGTTCCCCAGCGAGGTTGGGATGGGCCCAGAGAGGTTGTTGTGAGAGAGGTAGATATCTGGGCTGGAGTTGAAGGACCCGAAAGAGCGAGGGATTGAACCGGTGAGGTGGTTGCGGTCCAGGTGGAGTGTGCCGAGGTTGGGGAGCTGGGAGAGTGAACCGGGGATTGAACCGGTGAGGTTGTTGAACGAGAGGTTCAAGAATGTGAGGTTTGTGAGGCGGGTCAGGAAGGAGGGAACCGGGCCCGAGACGTTGGTCCAGCTTATGCGGAGGAACTTGAGGTTAGTGAGCTTGGCGATGGCGGGCTGGATTGGGCCCGTGAGCTTCGGGAGCTTATGGAACTCGAGGGTCTCGAGGTATGGGAGTAGGCCCACGGAAGGTGGGATTTGGGCCGTGAAATTTGTGTCGGAGAAAAGAGTGAGGGAGTTGATGCGGTGCGTTTTGCGGTCGCATGTGATGGTGTACCAATGGCAGCAATCGGTGTCTGGGTCCCACGAGGCAAGCAGGTAAGGGTTGTTGAGATCCTTCTTGATTTGGAGCAACACTTTCTTGTCTTCCGGGTTGCACAGCTCCGACACCACGATCGATACCAATATCATAAGCAGAGATAAGCCAAGCATCGTGCTTGCCATTTTTTGATCAATGTCATGAAAATAAGGGAAATGCAAATTTATACGTACTTGCACGTGGCAAGATATTATTTCATGCGTGACACACCAAAATCGTTGTTTTACAAAATTTTGACAACTTTTAATTTTACGTTTTAGAGTTAGAGACATTAATTTTGACGGATGATTTGAATCCATTTTCCTTTCACCAAACGTCAAATTTCAAATCCCGAAACGTAAGAATACGTGGCAGCGTATACGAGATTACTTCTATGATCTGCTCACAATTCTGCCTAAACCATGTCTCTAATCCAATAGCTGTGTATCCACTATGGAAATGCGTATTTAATTGTCTCAAGTGCACCCCACTAGTTCTCTCTGTTCTGTAGTTGTAGCCCATTTAAATGAGATTCTTAAATAAATGGGTTATCAACATATGAATAGCTGCATACGGAATGTGTTTGTCCTTGGATTTCATTTAGTTCATCCACTTATTACTTAATTAGTAATTTACATTCTTCCTTAAATCATTGTCCTCTTTTCTTACTTAAGAGTTTAGGCCTCTCACATCAAAATAGGGTACTTCTTACCGATCTCATTCATTCGTTGCATAAAATAAAATTTTAAAAAAATAATTTTTTTTAACAAACAAACTGTAACTGTAATTAAACACGAGCCATTGATATTTTTATATGTAAAATAAATAGTTAAAACTGATTGGTAAAAAAGTTAAGAAATTAAACAATAAAGATTAGTAAATCTGATTAAAAAAAGATAAATATATAAAATTAATGTTGATAAATTACGTGACTATTTTGAGTTTTATTATGTTAATAAAGAATAAATCATTAAATTATTGCTTCTCTTTTTTCATCTTAATTTCTGGACTTAATGACCTTAATAATTCTTTTTTAATTATTTATTATAAAAAAAAACAAAAAAACTAATTTTTATTTGGGATAAATTTTTTTTACGTCAAATCTGTTTTATATAAAAGTCAAACAAAATTAATTTTTTAATTTTTTTAATTAATCCAATTCATCTAAAAGAGTGATGAAATATTATGATACGACACGTGACAGCTATTTTATATATGAGAAAGATAAAAAGAAAGAAAAATTTTGAATTTTATTTTACTGCTTCAAGGCCACGTGGACCAATGCGACGAAACTACTATTTCATCTAATCAGGGACGAAAGTTCTTCATTGGTCCACGTAGCACCCAAGCAAACGGTCACTGCGAAAGCCCCTTCTCCCTCTCCCCTCTCGGGTTCGAAAATCGGAAGCCATAGCCAATTTCTCCTTCACACAGCAGCATTTTATCTTGTTTGTTTTCAAAATTTTTGAATGAGCAGGGTCATTTTGTTCTTAATCTGCTGCAGAAGTATGATTTGATTCACTTCCATTGCTGGTTGGCTGTGTTTTTAGACAGGACAGGACGGTTCCTGTTTTGCATCATCCACAGCAGAGAAGAAAGGTAGAGGTGGTCGTCGGAGCCACGTCACACACTGCAGAGCCTATCACTGTGACTGAAGTCTTCCGTCGCCGGAAAAGTGTGGTCGCCAGAAAAACTACCAGGTACCTTCATTTTGATTTTATATATTTTAATCTTGTCGAGAAAGTGTGCTTGCCGGAAAAGTGTGCACAAGCAAATTCTGATTTTATGTATTTTAATCTGCAACCCAAATTTTTTCATTTTCAATATAATTATTTTGTATAATTTTTATATTTTTTATAAATATAAAAACTTGTGTGATTATATTTTGATTAAAAATTTTAGAAAAAAATAAAAAATAAATTGATTAATAAGAGAAATTTTAATTGTAAAATTAATATTAAAAATATAAATTTTAAAACTAAATTTATTACATTTTTAGCTTGTGTAGAAAAAATCTGATAGTAATATTTAGATTAAAAATATAATAAAAATTATTTTGGTACCTTTATAGAAAATAAAAAATAAACAAAATTTGTAAAATTAAATATTTATAGTGATATTTATATTAAAAATTAAGCTTGCATTTAGAATTATTGTACTAAATTGAGGAGTAAATTAAAAGACAACTTAAAAATAATTTAAAAAAAATTAAAAACAATATGAAATGGTTAAATAAAATTTAGAATAGAAAATTAGAAAATAATTGTATCAAATTGGTTGATTAATATAAGAAATAATAATTAAAAATAGTGTATAAAACTTATAACATAAATTCTATTTTTTATATTAATTATGATTAAAATATGTAAATAGATATATTTATTTATAATTAAAGAACAAATTTAGATAATTAAAAAAAAAGTTATAGTAAAAATTGAAAGTAGTAAAATTGAAAACACTAATATATATTAAAATTGTTGTACTAAATATTTCAGTTTATAAATAATTGCAAAAAAAATATAATTAATATTGGTTAGTTATGATAAAATATTATTTACATAATTATTTATATAATTTTATTTATAGAGTAATACTAATAATGTGAGGTGAAATTATTTTTAAAAAAGAATCAAAATTTTAAAGAAATAAGAAAATTAGTTATCCAATGTAAATTTTTAGAGAGATATAAATTAGTTGAGATAGATTGTTTATAATTATATAATTTAATTTAGAAAGAAAAAAAATTTGAATGTGAAATATAAATTTTTAGAGTGATTGTAATTAGTTTAGGTTAATTATTGATAATTATATAATTAATAAATGATGACCAATAAATAATTTAAAACAAACAACTTGTTAATTAGTGTTGTTATTGTATGATATAAGATCTATAATGGAAAGTACTACAAAATTTTTAATGTTTATAGTTTTTAATTAATATACTAATTTATTTTGATGTACTAAGTTAAAAAAAACTTGTTAAATTTAGGGGAAAAATCTATAAAATATTTAAATTAAGTAATGAACAAATAACTAATTTATTTAGTAAAATTTTTTAAAATTGATTATGAATAATTGTATTTGATTTTATTTGTATTACAATGATTAAAATGTTATAAATAGATTTTTTTATTTGAATTATGTGATGAAGTAAGAACATATTGTGGTATTATACTTGATGCATGTTATGAAATTTTTTTGTATAATTTATATTAAAGTTAAAAAATTTGACCATGTTATATTTTATATTTTGTGTAGATGGCTTCATCTTCAGGACAGAATAGGGTCATTCATCTTGGACCAGATGATCCTTCATTTTTACGCTTACAGAATATTTATGTGTCTGAACATATTTGGGATGGTCGAGATCATCCTATTTTTAAGGTTAGGAAGAGTCAATTTATTCCACCTGGTTTAGATGATGTTCTAGAGGAGATCCTGCCACATTTAGAGCTTGCGGGATTTACTGGAATTGCTCACGTATGTCAATTCCCATTAGACCTCCCGTTGATCACTGCATTAGTAGAGAGATGGAGGCCAGAGACACACACTTTTCACTTGCCTCTAGGCGAGTGTATGATCACTTTGCAGGATATATCTGTGTTGTTAGGTTTACGGATTGATGGAAGACCTGTGATAACACCTATTGGAGGTAATTATGCTAATATTGTTGAGGAGAGCCTAGGAATTAGACCATCACGTGCAGATTTTGTTGGTAGCTTCTTGAAGACGAGTTGGCTAGACCAACATTTTACTCACGTGGCGATGCATGCACAAAATCCTTTACAAATCACCCAATTTACTAGGGCTTATATGTTGCGGTTGATTGGGGGTTTTATGTTGAGTGATCACTCCAGCAGTGAGGTACTTACCTTTACTTCAGGATTTTGCTATCACTGGTGAATATAGTTGGGGGTCTGCAGTATTGGATTTTTTGTATAGAGAGTTATGTATGGCCACCAACATTGATCGGCATGGTTTAGGTGGATTAGCTGCATTACTTGTGATGTGGGCATGTGATAGATTTCCATTTCTAGCTCCTGGAAACCCCCTTCACGCATGACTCCATCTTCCATATGCTACCACGTAATATTAAATATTTATTTCCTAAATATGTTTAACATACCTTTTGTATTAACAATATCTTAATTTTTTTGCAAGTGGTTGGCCAATCAAAGGAATAGGAAAGGGAGGAAAGACACATTTTATTATAGATATAAATTTGACATGCTTAGTCGTGAAGAGGTAAACTTGGATTAACATTTTAGACATATGTTATAGTCATGAATATGATGTATATTGTGTGCAGATAATTTGGCAACCATATTCTATTGATTTGATTAATTCGTTACCAGCTATATGTTGTGAGAGAATAGATTTATGGAGGGTTGTTATGCCTCTGATATGTTTTCAGGTGTGTGAGTGCCACTAACCAGATCGAGTAATGCGGCAATTTGGTATGGTTCAACATATACCTCGTGCCCCATATCAGCTAGATGCACTTCATGACTTGACTTTGCGTGGGAAGACAACAGAGAATTGGGAAGAGAAGCTGAGGGATGTATTACACATTTGGGAGAGAAGGAGAGACTGGGTCATGACCAATGACCCCCAGATTGGTCAGTTAAGTTCCAACTCTAAATATATGCGGTGGTATAGAGCTCGCACTAGACGTTGGATGACAAGAGACACAACTGTCTCATCATTACTTGTAAGTGTAAACTGTATTATACATTTACTTATGTGTATTTGTAATGACATTGTTAACATACATATATATTGTTTTATAGGGTGATGGACTTGAGAAAGCCCACTACTTGATGACTAATGGCAATGATTCTTTCACCTTTGATGAGATGCGAGACTTGTGTCAATCTATGCTAATATTGAAGAATGATTTGAACCGCATTATGGAACCTATTTCTTCATCTGAGCCTCCAATACAGAGTGGTAATACTGACGATCCAGTTGTAGATGTAGGTCAACCTAGGGACTGTAAGGAAGGCAGGGAATTACAACATATATGCACAGAGGTACACGCAACAGACTGGTCTCTTCCACCATACCTGAGCGTCCTGATGGAGTATTCTACGTTCCCTCATAGTTTCCTTTCCACACACAGCCTGTTAGTGTACCTATATATTTT